TTCCCACGTAAAATTCACGTCACTAATTAGTGACGTGGTTTTCACGTCGCAAAATACCTTTCTGAACAAAAGCTGAACATGCGCGCAGAGTGTCAGTATGTGATATAATGATGTGATTTCCACGTCACTAATTAGTGACATGATTTTCACGTCACAAAACTCAAACCTGTTTTAATTTTAGTGATGTGAATTTCATTTCACCGATGTATTTTAAAATAAAATAAATATTAATGAATAAAACAAATTAATAAATAATAAAATATAAAAATTAAAATAATTTTTGATTAAAAAAATCAAAATTTTTAATAATTATAATATTAAAATATATAAAATATTTAGTCACAAGATGTTCACGTCACAAACATAAATAATAATTAAAAAAAAGTGTCACGTGATATTCACGTCCTAAACATGAATAATAATTTTAAAAAAAGTTATTCATCGTCACTGTTAAATATAACATCGTTTTCTTCATCTTCATCTTCTTGGACAGAACAATTCGACTGTGAAGCAAAAAATTATCGCATTTGTGCCTCCATCTCATATTGCCTCTTCTTCATTTCCTCTATTTCAACATTTTGCATATTCCTCATTTCGGCCTTTAGTGCCGCCTCACGTGCCTCCATCTCTCGTCTCGCCTCAGATAGAGCTAGTTGTCTCATTGTTGCCAATATTTCGGGTGTCAATTCTGGCAGACGAGATCCTCCTACCCCATCTTCAAGTCTTTGAAATAGAGTTCTATCCCCTTTTTTGTAGTTGGCAGCCAAAGATCCAAGACCAAAAAAACATCCATTTACTTCATTCCCACCTACTGTTAAACTCCAAATATAAAGATTCATACGTGGATCAAGCGGAGCATTCCCGATTGGAGTATACTCAGGATTTTCAACTAGAAACTGGACGAGCAATGTCTGATACAACTCCTACACACACATAAAAAAATTAAATACAGTTTAAACAATTTAGTTATATACAATAATGAAATAAAATAATGAAATATAAACAAGTTAACAAGGTTGATTTGGAACGACCGTCAACAAACTCCCCCAATTTTTTGGTTCGGGTCTTTACAAATAGCTCATTAATCCTTGGCTCCCTCCCCAAATCCTTTTTCTAATTAAAATAATTAAGTTTAATTAAATATGTATATAATAATACATAATAGAACTTTAAAAAAATAGTTATAATTATCATTCGTCGACGATGTTCGCCGATACTGATACTTCCAACTGTACTAAGGCAGCCACCTACTTCAGATGCCCTCATCTTTTTTGCATGTTCAGATCTTCTCTGAAAATCTTTTGTCTTCCACATGGTCTCATGGTAGGAATTTGCGGTGACAGTCAAACCACAAATTTTCCCCCCAAATTCCAAAGTAAAAGCTTTTGTAAATTTCATGCAATGTGAACATTCCATTTTGCCATGTGTACCCCAACCAGATAACATTCCATACGTGGGAAAGTCATTAATAGTCCACATCAAGGTAGCTCGCAAAGTAAAGTTTTGTTTGCGAGATATATCATAAGTCCATTCTCCAATCAACAACCTCTTCAAATCATCAATTAAAGGTTGTAAATACACATTGATTCTGGCTTTAGGACTTGACGGTCCTGGAATGAGGCAAGTCAAAAACATGTATCGTTTTGTCATACACATCTCTGGAGGGAGATTGTAAGGGGTTATGATAACTGACCAACAAGAATATGCAATTGTGGACGCTTGGACATATGGAGTAAAACCATCAGAACATAATCTAGGCCTGACATTTCTAGGTTCTGCAGCAAAATCAGAATGTACTCTATCAAAATGCTTCCATGCCTCGCCATCAGATGAATGTTGCATAGTATTTGAACTTGTTTTGTTTGTATGATGTCATGTCATTTGACTTTCACTGTGCATTAAAGCAAACAATCTTTTTAACCTTGGTATTATCGGCAAATTGTCTTTCGTAGGAGTCGCATCCAACATCATTTTTGCAAAGTATTCCAAGCACTGACCAGGAACATTCCAATTTGACTTTGCGGCCAATAATCTCACACACATTGATAATTTTGAGTATGTCGACCCCTCAAACAGCGACATATTCATTTCTTTCAACAATTGGTAAAATCTTCGCACTTCCTCATTCGACAACTCTTCCCCATCAAAATTTTTAGGTTCATCATATGTCACATTTACTCTAAAGGTATTTCCAACCATATCATCTATCAAATTAAATTGTTCCTCAAATTCCATATGTGATCAACTACTTGATGCTTGTGCATTAGTAGTCTCTGCATGTACGTTACTCAGCAGTTCTTCTCCATTATATGTCCAAACCCAATAATTTGTAACGAAACCCCTTCTCTTCAAATGGCGTTCCACTTCCTCTGGGTCATTAATTATAGGTCTATGTTCACATTTAAGACAAGGACATCTTACTCCTTTCCTTCGACAACATTCTTGAACAAATGCCCACGTAATAAACCATTTAACTCCTTCCCCAAAATTTGGAGTAAGTCCACGTCTTCCTGATAATGTTCTATCGTACATCCAACTATGATAGTAACGAAAATATTTACATACTGCACATTTGTACTATCAGTATCATTTTAATTTAAAATGTGATTTTATTATATGCGAAATAATATAATTTTTTTCACATTGTTTTAAACATAACTACATTTCTTACTATATATATTTAATCAAATTGTACATTTCATAAATATATATTCTACATTTTATAACTATACTTAAAAAATCTACATAACATTGTATATAAAATCTAATCATACATTTTAACTTAATAAACATAAACTTTATATTAAATTAATATTTTTTTAATAATATAGTATAAATTAATAACAACTATAGATAATGATTTTACAACAACAACCAACAATCCAATAATTCTTTTACTTAATATATTTACTTACTATATATTAAAATTAAAAATATTATATTTATATAAATTCTATTTTTAAAATATTATCTTTACTTACTTACAATAATTACTTTTCTATTTTTTATAAATCTATATCTTTACTTATTTACTTTTCTATTTATATAAATTATGTTTTAATTAATATATAATATATTTGTTTTTATGAAATTAATATATTTGTTTTTAATTAATATATTTGTTTTTAATTAATATTATATATTTGTTTTTAATATAATATAATATAATATTAAAAATAAAATAGATAAGATAAAATCCATTTTTATAAAATCAGTATTTAAAAATATAAAATCTGTGTTTGTAAAAAAAAATTTATAAAATCTGGTTTTATAAAATTTAATATAATATATTAAAAATCTGTTTTCTTATAAAATTTATATTTAAAAATATATAACATAATATATTTGTTTTTAATTAAATCTTTATTTAAAATTAATATATTAAAATAAAATAATTTTCAGATTTTATGATATATTAATTAATTGACCTAATAAAATCTAATACTATATATAAACTTTAACCTAATAATTAAAATCTGTAAATTTTAATAAGTATACTACAGTAAAAAACAATCAACAATCAACAACTAATTTCATAATAAAAATCTAATAAATAAAATTATTATAAAATAATTAGATCTTGCAACATACCTTAGTAAACTTGAAGAAAAATTGAAGCTTTAGCTTGATAAACTTCTCCAATAAATATTGAAAATCTTGAATGATTTTAAATCTTAAAACAAATAAAAAGAGAAATATTATACTTATGAATTATAAAATAAAATGAATTAATAAATAAAATTTTAAAATACTTACATTAATGGTGCAAAAATGTTGAAGAAGAAATTATTAGTGGGTATTGAGAGAAAAGAAAATGGGAGAAACAGAGAGCAAGGGCGAGGGAGAAGAAAATGAGAAAAACAGGGAAGGGGCAAGAGAGGTAGAGTAATTGAGAGAAGAAGAGAAAAATGTTTGTTGGTTCTGGAAATTCTACAAGTTGCTTTATAAATAGGAGTAGGTTCAAACGCGGTATTCACACCACTAATTTTCGACGTGAAAATCACATGAGAATAAAAGTGTGTCAGAACGGTACAAAGCACATGGAATCACATGTGTTATCTGCAAACACAGAACGATGTTTTTTTGTCTTATTATATTGCTACTCCGACATGGAAAACATGTCCGAACATGTTTTTGTCTTTTTCTATTTGCTATTATCGACGTGGTACCCATGAAAGAAATTTTCGACGTGGGAAATATGTCGCAACATTTTTTTTTGTCTTTTTCTATTTACTGCAAGCAACGTGAACCCCATGAAGGAAAATTCCGATGTGAATATCGTGTGAGTATCTACAAAATCTATATTTAATTTTTAAACGGTCACATAATATCTCTTTATCCACTATTAATTTTTTTCTCCACAGATTTTTATTTTTTGAAACATATTAGTGACCTGTATTTCAGGTCACTATATTTTCTTTTTAATTTTAAATTTCTCACTATGTAAAATAATGCCTTTCAAATTTATATTAATTTTTTTCTATAGCAATGTGTTTGTCACGTCACTAATATAATTTTTAATGACGTGATTTTCACATGAGTATAATTAACACTCTTTCATTAATACACAATACTTTTTGAAAAATCAAGTTTTGGTGAATCGGCAAAAATATATATGACATTTATCTTGACTAATCAATTTAAGCGGACATCTATAATTAATCTATCGTATTTTATATTTTAGCTAAATTGAGTTTTATAAAGACCTCTTTTTTACTCTTTAATACTCTAATTTAGGTTGTTTGACCCATGAATCGGTTCTAGTTGTCTTAAAAGATCTTTAAAGTAATTGTATAATAATTTAAATAATTTTAATTATTTTAATTAGTATTTTCTCCTACCTAATTTATTTTATAAAAAAAAACATATTGGAATCTTTTCATTTATGTATGTATATTTATAGCATACTCAAGAATATTAAGCCAAACACACTCCTATACTACCATAAGACATTAGTCATCTTGTCTCATCTCTCTCATACTAGAAACAAACATACAAGGATGGTGCTACAACTTAAGCTAGTCTTGACAACGTTGGTGTGTTGGAACATAATAGCTAGTTACAACTATGTAGCTGGAGATTCACAAACAAGTGTTGTACTAAACCGTGGATGCAGCACATATAACGCAGCAAATTTGCGTAAGTTCTATGCAAACCTTAATGGAACATTTTCAGATTTGAGAAATCAAATCAGCAATGGAAGCAAACACTTTGCAACAGCACAAGAAGCCAGAGGAGAGGTGATAGTATATTCTCTTTTTCAATGCAGAAATTATCTCTCCAAAAAGGACTGTGTTGCTTGCTTCAACACTGCTTCTACTAAAATTCGTAACTGCTCTGCTTCCAATGGTGCTAGACTCATCTACGATGGCTGTTTCTTAAGGTATGTATTTGAAGTTTTTTTTTTTTTTAATTATATCATTTTATATAAATTATTAGTAGATGTTTAGACTTTTCTTCTTCAATTGGTATAATTTTATTGGTGAGACAAAGAAAGAAGATTAAAAAACACGCAACTTCATTTTCATAATAAGAGGTATATATATATATATATATATATATATATATATATATATATATATATATATATATATATATATATATATATATATATATATATATATATATATATATATATATATATATATATATATATATATATATATATATATATATATATATATATATATATATATATATATATATATATATATATATATATATATATATATATATATATATATATATATATATATATATATATATATATATATATATATATATATATATATATATATATATATATATATATATATATATATATATATATATATATATATATATATATATATATATATATATATATATATATATATATATGTTTCTTTTTTATTCTTAAATATATGATATAAATTTTACTAGAGTTGTTAAAATAAACTATTCGACTCTATACAGGGCGGTTCTGGCAGATCTCGAGTTTTTTAGAAATGGGGCAAAAAATAATTTGTTATAAAATGGACTTAAAAATTACTATTTAAGTCTGGCTTTAGACGGACTTCAGACTTTCCGATCCTAAACGGGTTTTTTTAATAAAAAATAAAAATAAAAATTCTATAATATTTATTATAAATAAAATTAAAAATTATATTATTTTTAACCTAATACATTTTTAAATATTATATCATCTTTTATAAATACTACAATGTATTTTTAAATACAACACATGTCAAAATTGTATAAAAATAATACACAAAAATTTAACATAAGATAAACTAATAAAATACAATGAAAGAGTGTTGATTATATTAATGTATAAGATTTAAAAGAGAAACATTGAATAAAATAGAGATAAAATTTAGTGAGATGAGAAAAATCCATGTATTATTTTGGAGTAATACAATATAAATATTAATGTATTTTTTCTAAAATTTATAGCTATGCAGATCTAATAGACTACCCACGTCCCATACAGTCTTACTCTAATGGGTAGCAGGTTTTTTAAGGCTGGGCTAAAAAAAATCTAAAAAATATGGGCTCTAATTTTAAAGTCAAAATCTTATGATTTTGTTTTGTCTAATGGTTCAATCCATATGTACTACCCCATTTTAACAGCTTAAGATTTTAGAAAATTTTACCTCATACCCCTACTTTTATCCCTATACCTATATATTTTATAAAAAATATCAATTTTGTCCTTGTATATTTTTAACTAATTTTTTATTTTATCTTTTTAAATATTTTTTAAATTTTATTTTGTGTACCGGAAGACTTTGCAAAAGATTTCCGGTATACAAAATAAAAGTTAAAAGATGTTTTAAAAAATGACTACTAGAATTCTTTTGCAAAATTTTCCTGTACACAAAAATTGATTACCGGAACTCTTTTGCAAAGTCTTCCGATATACAAGAAAATGTTTTAAGAAACGACTACCGGAACTATTTTGTAAAGTCTTTCGGTACACAAAAATTGATTACCGGAATTCTTTTGCAAAATCTTCCAATATACAAGAAAATATTTTAAGAAATGACTACCGGAACTATTTTGTAAAGTCTTCCGGTACACAAAAATTGACTACCGAAACACTTTTGCAAAGTCTTTTGATACACAGAAATATTTTTAAAAAATGACTACCGAAACTCTTTTCTAAAGTCTTCCGGTACACACAAAATGTTTAAAAACATGAGTACCGAAACTCTTTTGCAAAGTCTTCCGATACACAAAAGTTGAGTACCAGAACTCTTTTGCAAAGTCTTTCGGCACACAAAAAAAAAATTTAAAAATGACTACCAAAACTCTTTTGTGAAGTCTCTGGTACACTAAAATTGACTACCGGAACTCTTGTGCAAAGTCTTTCGGTACACACAAAAAAAGTTTTAAAATACTTTAAAAATGACTACCGAAACTCTTATTCAAAGTCTTCCGGTACGCAAAATAAAATAATAAATTAGTTAAAAATATATAAGGACAAAATTGGTATTTTTTATAAAATGTAGGGGTATAAGGTAAAATTTTCAAAATTTTATTGGAGAGATATTTCACCAACCACCCCCCATTTCACATCAGGCACCCCCTAATCTTTCATATTTTCAAAACTGTCCTTGAAAAAAATTTGAAACAGGTGAAAAAAATTTATATTATCAGAAATTATTTTTTTTACCGAAATTTCTAAATTTTCGGTCAAAACTATGAAGAATATCGATTTTTTTTTTAAAATAATTCTTGCACTATCGAAAATTTAAAAATTTTCAATACTGTATCAGAAATTACAAAATTTTCAGTATTATACCAGAAATTTCAGGTAGTTTAAAAAGAAAATTCATGCCTTTTGCGGAAATTTCAAAATTTCTAATAAGAAAATGAAATTTTCGGTATTCTTCATATTTTTTTCGGAAAATTTTATTTTTTATTGGAAATTTCAAAATTTTCGATAAAAATTTTTAAAACCAAAATTTCTAGTGCATATTACAAACTTCTGGTAAAAACATGTAAAATTCAAAAAAAAAAAATCGATTTTTACAAAAAGACATAATAGTAAAAGTGTTTTAAATAGGGATGTCAGGTACAAATGAGATGTGAAAGGTTAAATTCTCTTATAATATGTCTTACCCATAAAGACTATCATTTTTAAAATTATTAGCCAGAATGCACTAGAAAAGAAAATTTGTTAATTTTTCAAGCCAAAGTTTATAATTAACATGCTCAATAATATAATAGTAATCTATTCTGAGTCATGTCCTAGGAGTGTGGCTTTTTTAATTATGAAGATCTATATACATAACCTATTCGTAGATGCTTCTCCATAGCATACTGAAACAGAAGGAGAAAACCATAAAGTTGTATTTTGACAAAATAAAATTATCATTTATAACATAAAATCAGCATTACATAAGTGATGTTAACATAAAATAAAAAGTTACATTTCAATGTCCAGGTTGACGTTTCAACTTCTTTTCAATATCTTCAACTGGTCTTGAAATTTTTGTTTCCACCTCGATCAAAACTTTTGTTTCGAAATGGAAAAATGTATTCCATATAGCTCCTACGTATACATCCTTTTTAAATTCATAGTTGTTGAACTCAATTTTGCCTTTGTTATTAACTGACAGTGAACGGTACTCGAGCTTTACAATTTTTTATTATCTCCGTAAGGTAGGAGATTCTGCACTTCGTATTGCAGATCTGCAAAAGAGATGTACCCATTGATCTTAAATTCTCGTCCAGGTGTCACGTTGGAAAAATTTACATTTGCGACATATCAGATGATGTTCATTTTGGACATTTGCGACATTGTCAATTTGTATGAGACGTGATACGAGAGGCTATATTTATAGACAAATATGGATCTCAAAAATCATATCTTATATTAGTGGAGGTTTTGGAGATGCATTTCTGGTATCATCCTATTCTTTTATTTTAGTGATGCATCTCTGAAATCTCTCTTAATCTAGACAGAAAACAGAACATGTGTGTTTTGTTTAGCAAATTGACAATTATTTTGGCAAACATCAAAATATATTAAAATATTTAAAATTGTATATATTGCACTTCATTAATATTAATACACAATTACATACAATTAATTGATGACAAAAAACTAAAACGAATCGAAATATTTATCGTCGGCTAAACTTATAAGTATGGGTGGTTCCCCTTTGACTTTTGTGCATTTGATTCACTTTCAATGTTGCTCAATTTGGTGAACTCTTGTATCTTTTCCACAAATTGGTCAGGGAAAGTCTTGGCTTTTGTTGTTGAATGAGTCGTTCACTCCACTGATGTAAGTGGTATATGGCATCTCGGTGTTAAATAAACTGAACAAAGTGTCATGATTTTGATATAGGGCGTGCCCAGTGGAAATTTTTTTGAAAAACCGAATCTTTTAATCAATACACACTCTATCATACGCACTTGTTATAAGATTATCCATTTCGGGGAAACGCGTTCATTTTTTCTCTGGTGCCGGTCCACTAATGCAAGGAACAAGAGACTCATAAATTGCATCAAAAAAAAATTTGTAAAGTTGTGTATGATTCTTTATGGATCCTCAACTCATGGATAAGTTGATGGCAGATAAGTGTGTGATCATCTTCTCTTTTACCTAACAAAGTCGAAACAACTCTAAAACCACCTCAAACCTCCAAAGATGCATCTTTGGAATATCCTCTGAGCTGCTCAAATATTAATATATTTGTTAAAAATATTCAGAGATATATCTTCGAAATAAAATTTATTTTGCTCTAGGGTGCCACTCATTTAGTGTGTCATAAAGTGGTGCAAAGGTGTGTTTGAAGATGCATCTCCAAAATTTAAAAGACATTTTATATTTTCTATAAGGTGTTTTTCCACCTAAAAAATTCTCTAGTTTTATCTAGATTTATGATGCAAAAGTGAGATGAAAAATAAGGTGAATTAGAAAGAAAAAAAATCAAAGTAGGATATACTAATATTATGTTAACATTTGATACTTGAACACAGATAAATGCATTATACCTAAATAAAAGAATAGCACCAAAAAATGAAAGAGAAAGAAAAACTATTATTTTCTCATCTTACAATTACAATACCCAAAACCCTCTATTTATAGAACTCCAATATAACCAATTTACATTAAAAAAAACATAGAGAATTTCTTAATGCACCTTTAATATTTCACCGCGTTTTTCTTTTTTTGGTAAGCAAGGAATTCAATAACCAAAAGAGTATAAGGAGTACTCAACCTTTACAAACAAAATAAATCAAACCAAAAGAACAATTCAAAGGAGTCATACACCAATCCAAATAACTACAAGGAGGTTTCTCTTTGATACCAAAGATCATCCAACTCCAAGTAAGGTATTTAACCGAATTCACCATATAAATTTCTCTTAGCCACCACGTGAAATTATTTAAATGCCCTTCGTTTTCGGAGATACATCTCCGGACGCACTAAATTTTAAATGAACGTTGACATATTTCAAAGATGTATCTCCATAACAATTTAAAACATTCAATACATCTCACTCAAAAGCTATTATAAATTTGAATTGTACTAGTGATGCATCTTTGTGAATATTCTGGAGATACATCTCTGTAACGTATCAGAACTAGATTTTTCATGTTATATTTTGGTTATTTGTGTTCGGATGAAGATTTAAAGTATACCATACAATTAAAAATAAATAAAAAGTCAATGTACATAATTTCAGATGATCCAAAAAATGTCATACATAAATAAAATATCAATAAATAATAAAAATGTCAAACAATCGGATATCAATACAATAGCAAGACCGCCGAACGGATGTGTACTGAGCAAACCTCTCGTGTCTCAGTCTATTATGTATATCCGCCATTGTAATTGTAAGTTAAAGTAAGGCATGTCATTAGTGCAGGTAAACAACACACAAGCAAGATGCATCTCTGAAATCTGGGGAAAGCTAAAATGTTGAAAAATTTCAGAGATGCATCTCCGAAATTTTTTGCAACTCAGAGGTTACGCCAATGGTATCAATGTACCCCATGCAATCTCAAAAATAACTTGTTTTGATCATCATTTTCATTCAACAAACATCTAATACTCATTTCCAACTCTAATCATTGATTTCTACTCCTTTACACAGAAATTCAAAAATCTATAGAAAACTCAATAAACTTACAAAATATTGATGTTTTTTGTTAAGTGTGGTTGGGCCTAACTCAACCCTACAAAACCGGTTGGTAGAGTGAGGATTGCTCCCACTTATAAACACATGTTCATGCCATATATTATTTGATGTGGGACTCTTAACACACCCCCTCACGCGGAAATAAATGGTGGGTGGCCCGATAGCAGAAACCATAGAAGGTGGCCCACCGGATCTTAAACCAGGCTCTGATACCATGTTAAGAAGTGTGGTTGGGCCTAACTCAACCTTACAAAATCGGTTGGTAGAGTGAGGATTGCCCCCACTTATAAACACATGTTCATGCCATATATTGTCCGATGTGGGATTCTTAACATTTTTAATGTTGTTTTTTATGTTACAAATGATGATTGATGTTCCCTTGAGTCTTGTTGAATGAGTTTGGACTTGGTGAAAAAAGAAGAAATTTGAGAGAATTTGAAGTTGAGTTTGAGTAAAATGAAAAATGAGGAAGGAGAAGGTTTGTCGCATTTTAACATCCAAAATATTCTGAAAATACATCTCCAGAACATTTTAACGTTAACTGACAGTTTGATTCGTTCGAAAATACATCTCCAAAAATTGATAACTTTTTTAAAATTTCACATGATATGTAAGAAACATATGAGATGCATTAAGAAATCCTAGAAAATATATATATATATATACATAAAATTAAAGGTGATTATAACAAACAATGACTAACCACTAAATCAATCAAGTAACACTTTAATTATTTACAACAGAAAATAATAACAGCATAATAGACAAACTCAAGGTTGTTTAAACATATAGTAATTGGTGGAATAGTTAGACGAATAATACAATAAATAGGACATATCGTTAGAAAAAAATAATTAATTATGCATCAATATTCTATAAGAAACGAGACAGAAAAATGGCAAGGGTGGACAAGTACTAAAAAAATTGATTTTGCTGGTGTTCGAATAAAGTATTTCTCTTCTTTTTTTTTACCAATTATAGATATTTTATGGGATGAAAATATGACATGAGATGATGAATTTGCCATTAAATACTTTATATACACTGTCTTGATATAATTCCATAAATCTTGGTGTGTAACTACTAAACATGACAATGACAATTATTAAGGTACGAGAGTGAAAGATTCTACGATCAAACAAATCAACCTGGGGGTGGTATATTATGTGGGAACAAGACTGCAAAGAAAGGTACCTCTTTTGGAACAATTGGACAAAAAGTGCTAATGGATCTTCAATTAGCAACACCAAAAATCAAAGGCTTTTTTGCAGCTACGAAGACTCTGGTGAATCCTGGTAGTAATAGTTCAATTTATGCCATTGCACAGTGTGTTGAAACTGCCACAGAAAGTACTTGTCTCGATTGCATGACAGTTGGATTCAACAACCTGCAAACTTGTCTTCCTAATACAGATGGTAGAGCATATGATGCAGGGTGTTTTATGAGATACTCAGAAACACCCTTCTTTGCTGATAATCAGGCCATTGATATCACAGCCTATTTAAATCAAGGTACAAAAAATAACATAAAGTTCACATTCATTCATGTTAGATTAGTAGTACCTCATTTCATTGGAACTGATGTAAACTCTTCTTTTCTGTTATGAAGGTGGCTCAAGCAACAAATGGGCCATTATAGGTGCTGTTGTCGGAGGTGTAGGTCTTGTTGCGATCATTCTTGCAATTTTATCTTGGCGACAATACAGAAAACCCAAGAGAGCTCCTAGAGGTTTGTGTAACTACTGTATTCTCTGTGTGATGTTTGGTTCTGATTTTGGCTCTGCCTTCAAACTCATATGTTCCTTGGCAGGTAACATATTGGGAGCAACTGAGTTGAAAGGTCCAGTTAACTACAAGTATAGTGATTTGAAAGCTGCCACAAAAAACTTCAGCGAAGAAAATAAACTGGGAGAAGGAGGCTTTGGTGACGTATACAAGGTAAGCTATAAAGTATTTTTAATATTTTCAATGAGAAGAATGTTCAAAGACAATAATGATTCTGTGAATGTTTTTTCAACCATGCTGCTGAAATAGGGTACTCTGAAAAATGGAAATGTTGTAGCAGTCAAGAAACTGGTTTTGGGAAAATCCAGCAAGATAGACAGTGATTTTGAAAGTGAAGTAAAGCTTATAAGCAATGTTCATCATAGGAATCTTGTTAGACTTCTTGGTTGTTGCAGTAAAAAACAAGAGAGAATCCTTGTTTATGAATATATGGCAAACAGCAGCCTAGACAAATTCTTATTCGGTAAATCACTTCAATTCAACCGCACTCATACTATCATTTAATTTGTTGAATGCTTCTTCTTCTACCTTTTTCATAACCTTAACTATATAAACATGTTAATTAAATAGGTGACAAACAAGGTTCCCTCAATTGGAAACAAAGGTGTGATATAATTTTAGGCACAGCAAGGGGACTGGCCTATCTACATGAAGAATTCCACATTTCCATTATACATAGAGATATAAAGACTAGCAATATCCTACTTGATGATAATCTTCACCCCAAAATTGCTGATTTTGGATTGGCGCGGCTTTTGCCGGGGGATCGATCTCATCTAAGCACAGGAGTTGCAGGAACATTGTAAGACAACAATTTCATTCACCTAGATTACATTTAATTGAGCAGCATATGTTATAAAAGAGAGAACTAAGTCTCATGTCATGTATAAATCTTGGAATGTATAATATGCATTTGTCAGGGGATACACCGCACCTGAGTATGCAATTCATGGTCAATTATCAGAAAAGGCTGATACCTACAGCTATGGTATTGTAGTCCTAGAAATCATAAGTGGTCAAAAGAGCACACAAGTAAAGGAAGATGGTGATGGTGAATACCTTCTTCAAAAAGTAAGCAATTTCTCACAAGTCATAAATAGGAATTGTTGGTTATTACCTCTCTAGTCATTTTAAAAGAACCGAAGGGAGTATGTCCTAATATTTTACCATATGGTGTTTGATTTTCACTTAACAGTCATGGAAACTGCATGAGAGAGGCATGCACTTGGAGCTCATGGACAAGGCTTTAGACCCTAATGACTACGATAGAGAAGAAGTGAAGAAAATGATAGAGATTGCTTTACTATGCACTCAAGCATCAGCAGGAATGAGACCAACAATGTCTGAAGTAGTAGTTCTCCTTCAAACCAGGAGTTTAGTGGAGCACCTACAACCAACTATGCCTGTGTTTGTAGATACGAGTCTTAGGTCTCGTGAAGAACACTCTACCTCAACTGGTTCTTCTACATCTAATGCCACTGCCTCCTTTTCAGTTTTATCAGCTCGATGATTATATGCAGCAGTAAAGGGAATTGAACCAAAAAGGTGACAGAATAAACCAGATGAGGGTTACTCTTCATTGATTCCAATTGTTCACCAATCATACAGTTAGAAAATATAATGGGAAATAGTGACTAATGTGGTGTTCGATTTCAACAATAGAATTAAGAAATAGTATTAGACATTAGACAGATAAAAAGTTGCAGCTGTGTGTTTGTTATAAACCTATTTTGAGCTAGTTAGTTTGTTATGAAGGAGTTTTCCTAATTTATTTTTCTTGTAATATAAATACACAATGTATCTCTTCACTAGGAGAGAGAATAATTCATAGCCAAAAGAGACACTTTCATCAAAGTGCTTGCATGCTCAGCACATTACATGTCCTTCAAATTCAACACGGTGACAGTACACATCTCCACTTATATCGAGCCCATTTAAATGGACAAGTGTGGTGATTTTTATTCATTAGTATACTATAATATACTATATTACAAAAGGCTACTAGAAAGATACTTGAATATCGAGTAGTGCCATCAACTGGGCAATGAACTCAGGGTGCCCTGGCCATGCAGCTCCAGTAACCAAATTCCCATCAGTGAAGCATCGGCTTATGGGGTCAGGCTCCAGCCAAGTTGCTCCTGATAAAACCACATTAAGCTTCACGGCTGGATAAGCCGTACATTTTCTTCCCTGTTACAAGAAAAGTTACTAGGTATTAAGGTTCCGTACCAATAAATGAAATATGAATAATATAAAAAAAAATAAAAATTAAAAAATTAAAAAAAAAATCTCCATAAAAATGAGGAAAAACTGAGAATAAATGAGTTACAAGTCATTCTAGCATTTCATGAACACAAATATACACCAGGGGATAAATCAGAAATGTTGTGATTCTCAATCCATGCATGATGTATGTCTCTACCCTCATACACTGAAGAATAAGTACCTCTAGAATGAAGATAAGGAAAAAAGCCAGGATGACAAGATTCACCGGAAGCTTGTCCATCAAGGATAAGAGTAATGGCGGCAAAGAAGAAGAAAAGAAGGATACGAGAATATACACTAATGTATTGATGAAAACTAAAAGGACGTGTGAGCATCAAGAAATTAATGACATTATGATAATTTAGACCAGAACGACGTGTGAGCATCAACAAATTTGAATTCCAAAGAAAGAACACTTTATTTTAGAAAGGTGATAGAATAGGAGAGAATCTCTCCACCAAGGATTTCCCCCTCACAATAGAGTTGATATTTGATACTTTATTCACAAACTTCACAATATCCAATAGATGATTTCTTTCCTTTGTGTTCTCTTGCCTTATACATGATATCTCTAACTTAACCTCACGAATTAACTTCTCCTTATCCTATATTGTTTCTAACTCCTCTTATCTCATATCCTAACAAACTCGCCTCTTATACCATATCATAACTAACTACTCATTATCTTATATGCTAAGAGAATTGCAATCTATAAGAACACTAATGTTCTACGTCTACATGACTTACTTAAGGAAATGATTGTATCCTTGTCAATGATAACTTCCTACTTGCTCGGCCTTGTGATAGAAACCCAAATTAAAGAGAGCAAAAAACTGTAGTATTATTGATTGAAAAGGAAATATTACTGAGGCTAACCCCTGTAATCCCAGAGTAAGCGCTCCTCCAAGAAGAGTGAAGAGATGATTCTCTCTTTAGCCAACCTTGAAGGTTCTAACAGAAAAGTTGTTCAATGATACTTCTCACTCTCCTCACACTTGGAACAAAATTGGTAAATCTGCCATGTCACGTAACTCCCTCCTATTTCCTATATTTTCCCCAGAACACTTATTAGGCCCAAGTTTCTCAATTGGAACCCTAACACCTTGCTTGTTACAACTCTGTAACCCAACAATTCAAACAAAAGATGGATAGAAGCAGATGTAGAGTGAAAATGAGTTCAAGAATATTAATAGAAACTCCATTGAAATGTTGGTTAATAGCATTACATGAACAACAATACCTTGAGAACACCAGCAGCAGCTAAAATCTGTTGGCCATGGCAGATTGATGCAACTGGCTTATTGGCTTCCATGAAATGCTTCGCCAAGGAAATAACGGTCTCATTCAATGACAAGTACTCAGGTGATCGACCTCCAGGGATGACAAGAGCATCGTAAGCTGAAGGAACAACGTCGTCAAAGGTTGCAGTTAAAGCAAAATTGTGCCCTGGCTTCTCACTGTAAGTTTGATCTCCTTCAAAATCATGAACAGCAGTTGGGCAAGTATCACCAGCCTTCTTTAAGGGGCAAACTGCATCAACATGGCATCCTAAAGCCTGAAGAGACTGAAAAGGAACCTTAACCTCGTAATCTTCCATGTAATCCTGTGATTAAAAGTTGTTAAAACACGTCTTATCAACCAGCACGGCAATAAAGGTAAAACGATTAGTGAAAGAACATAAATACAAAAGAAAAACATATGAACATACCCCGCAAATAAAGAGAATTTTTTTATCATAGCCACTTATTTTGCCTCCTAATCCCTTCACAAAATGCCGAAGAAGTTCCGGGTGCCCTTCATAAGTAGGTGCAGTGATGAGATTACCATCCACGACAGTTGTTGACATTGTCTCAGGTTCAACCCAATGAGCACCAGCAGCAACCAATACTGGTTTGACAGGAGGAAAAGCTGTGCACTTGCGACCTTCAACGACTCCAGCAGCTGCCAGAATCAAATGGCCATGACAAATGCAAGCAATCTGTTTTCCAGATTTTACAAACTTGGCAACCAGCTCCACAACACTAGGAATGTGAGCAAGATATTCCGGCGCCCTTCCTCCAGGCAACCACAACCCATCATAGTTTGTGTGATCAACTTCATCAAAAGTTGCATTCAGCGTAAAATTGTGACCAACTGTCTCGGTATATGTCTGAAACCACCAAAAAGCTATTACTCAAGATTATGCATAAAAAATAGCTTATCCATAAGCACTTATGTTATAAGTGCTTGATTAAATTGTCATCCAAATATGGTCTTATAAAATTAGATCTGACTTGATGTTGAATGCAAAGGCATAACAGAATGAAGGGAGACCTGTCCACCGGAAAGCATATGGATGGCGGTGCGGCAGACATCACCGGATTTTTTACCGGGACAAACAGCATCGGCGGTGATACCGAATGCTTGCAATGCCTGAAAAGGAACCATAACCTACAAGAGAAAAAGTGAGTGAGTGGATGATGAAGTCAACTGAAGTGAAGGAAAATGAAAAGTACTTACTTCGAAGTCTTCCATGAAGTCACCGCAAAGGAGAAGAACCCTTTTGGGAGCCATGATGATGATTGCAATGCTACTGATTTTTGAGGTGGGAATAGAAAAACAAGGATAAACAAAGAGATTACGTTAGGTCAAATTTAAAGATATATATTGTGTAAAGGTCAAAGAATCATCAAGGTGGACGTGCCGGAGTGGTTATCGGGCATGACTAGAAATCATGTGGGCTTTGCCCGCGCAGGTTCGAATCCTGCCGTCCACGATTTTTGATATTCTTCGAGTTGAATGCCACAGCTTTTGTGTTTGTTTGATAATCTTCCATCGAGTTGAATGCCACAGCCATGGTTTGTTTGATATTCTTCGAGTTGAATTATGAGCTGTAGCATAATTTTTTAAAACCGGTTTTTTTACTAAATAGAGGATTGTTAGTATAGTAACTCAATAAAAAAGATACATAGTATTATTTAAACATTTTAAAGTTAACACGATAGAAAAATAAATTTTTTTAGTATAGTAACTCAATAAAAAAGATACATAGTATTATTTAAACATTTTAAAGTTAACACGATAGAAAAATAATTTTTTTTTAAATTATTGAAATGATATAAAAATAATTTTTTTTCAAATTTGAAGTGATATATATATAGTTTCAAAAAATAAACAAAACAATTCAAATTTTCTATTCAAATAATCCATTTTTTTCAAATTTGTTTCCAAAATAACTCAGGTTCACAAAAAAAAATCTCAATCTACCATATTTTTAAACAAACAAAAAGATTAAGACGAAGTGGTATTCTCAGGTGAATCGACGACAATACTTAAATTTTTAAAGGAGATGTCAATAGAATTGGCAACTACGCACTAGTGTTGTCAACCCTATCGGCCTCAATGTATAAATTGGCAAAGGAGACGCGCCAATTAGTCTGGTATCAGTGTATATTATGAACTTTTTAAGTATAAATAGAGGTTTCTCCTACCATTTACTTCACTGCACATTTTATTTTAATTTTTTCTTTCATTTTCTTCATTAACTCTATCATGATTGTTAAAAGATATGGGCGTGTATGTTATTCCGCAACGAAACCTCCGATGAAAATATTTTTTTGGAACATCCAAAATTTCGAGCATCTTGAAAGGAGTTTGAAAAATTGGTTAGACAAAGAGATTAATGATGAGGAAAGAATTAGAAGTATCAAGAGGCTTGTTTCGTACATCTCAATTGCAGATGACTATAATATTATGCATTGCATGTCGCGTTAGAAATGACGATGATGTTATGGATATGATGTCTGCAGCAGATGATATTGCTTTGATTATTGTAATCTCTTATACATGTTTTGGCGTTAAGTATTTTTTATTTGTTGTTTGTGTTATTGTTTTATGCATGTTTATGTTGGTATGTTATGTCGTTTGTTTTTTTACGGGTGTTTAAGGGGAGGTTATGTTATTTTTGTTGTAACCAAAAGTTTATACACACACACACACACACCAAGGTTACAGAAATTTAAAGAAAAAAATAAATGTTCGTGTATAACTTGCTCCAACATTGGAAAAATTTGTCCGATTGTGTTTGGGCTGACGGCATAAACCACATAATCTTACCATTTTATTAGCCATATTCATTTTTGTTCTAATTCGCGTGTTGTTAGGGCAACCATTTTTCTTTCGTCACATATTTTCGTTATGCTAAATTATGCCCCCTTGACATGCAGGCCAGTAATCTTTCAATGCTACCATCGGAATGCTATTGTTGTACACATTAAAAACATTTATGACTTTGTAAACATCGAATCGATGCTTGGAAGTGTCTTGGCGAGCATATGAATATGTCGTGACATGGGAGCAAAGCATACAAAAGGCTTGAAAGTTACCACAATTGCGCCAACCTCTATTCAGTTGGACTAGATAGTCTCCATTCAACCTCCCCTCGTTGTGGTCTTGTGTTTCCTTTACACTAAAAGTGTGTTTATGACAATCAAAGATTGTAACAGCATGTGTGCTAGCTTTGAGAGTTTCCTCATTCATCACTTTCATGCAACTTTCAATGAATAATTTCCTTATCCATAACACTGAACTCTATTTTTCACCTCTGGTTACAAAAAGTGATCCCAACCGAAAATAGGTTGCTCTCACCGACGTGGCTATTGGTAGATTTTTAATCCATTTGAATACATCGTTCATGGATTCAACAAGGTTTGTTGTCATGTGGCCCCATGGATGTGCTTCGTCAAATGCCCTTGTCCACTTTTCCAATGGAATATTATTCACCCACCTTAATGCATCCGCATTTGATAATCTAGTTTCCTCGCGATGTATTATAGTTAAGTTAAAGCATACCTTGTGTAGATCCCGAAAATTTAGTTGACTGGTCGAGGTATAAGCTCAGAAAAGCCTATTATACGTCTTAAAATGTCTCTGGGGCCGAGTTGGAGGGACCGTCGAACATGATGATACTAGCAAGTTGGAAGGTCATATTCCTGCCTATAAATCAGATTCCAGCTAAGGGTATCCAAATACACAAGACAGAGTCGTCCTCATATGAACCGAGAACTATATCACTCATATAAGTCGGTCCGATGATAGAGCTCGAATGCCATGTGAAGGGTCGCAAGAGACGGTTACAGAATAAGGCATTATGACTGAAGAGTTACAGTTATTGAAGAGATAGGTGTTACATATAAGAGACGATAGACCTTACTTAAGGGATATTTATAAGGAATATGAAGAGTAAAACGAATGGGGGAGAGAAGAAGTTGAGACCTATAAATAGGATACGGTTTGGAAGGAATAGGCAAGCCACCACCTGCAAAAACATACATAATAGACACCTCAACCAGTCTTTTAAGGCTCTCCTTGAGTTAGAACAAGGAAGTCAACCTTTTAGTGTTTTTAGCAAGAACATTTGGCGCCCACCATGGGGTCTCGGTAAAACTTTCATAGGCCACACAAATCCAATATACAATGTTCGGGTCATCTCCTAGCCGAAGTGATCCACCTTTGCCACCAGATGTAACTCAGCTGCTTGCAGTGGTGAATGCCCTCTGTTAGCAAAATGAAATTTTAGACGACAACGTCTAGGTTTTTCAAACGCAAAGTCAACAAGAAAGAGATGCAAAGGAAGAGCCCCTAGATTCCCAACTTTTGTCAGAAACTATCTAGGACGATCAAGTTCCATAAAAATTCAAGCCACCGACACTAGTATCTTTTGATGGTAAAATCGACCCACAAGAACATATCATTGCAATTAATAATCAGATGGCAATTGTAGGGGCTTTTGATTCCCTTAAGTGTAACCTCATGGCCGAAACCTTTAAAAAATGAGTTTTACAATGGTATATGAGTCTGCCTAGATTTTTGATCATTAGTTATCAGGATTTAACCAAGAAAATGGTACAACATTTTTCAGCAGGTAAACACAAAAAGTGTCGACTACCAGATTATTTAACATCCGACAAGGACACTCTGAGTCTCTAAGAGAATATCTAGCAAGGTCCAACAGAGAAACTATCAAGGTATCTCATCCAAATCAGGAAATGTTCGTCGAAGCATTTTAACACGATCTCAAGGCTATACAGTTCAATGAATCTTTAGCATAAAAGTCAACATCCAACATGGATGAAATCATTACCCGAACGGAATGCTACATCAAAGGGGAAGAAAGTAACATGGAAAAAAGATCTTGGGATGCCAATGAATCTGTAACATAAGAATGAATACTCTAAGAACAGACTCAGGGATCGACCAGCGCCAAGACCATTTTGGCGTTTGTTCGAGAGGGAACGGGACTACACGCCACTAAATACCAGACGAGAAGACATTTTAAGGGAATTTTATCATCTCAAGTTACTTAATACGTCCAAAAGGAGTATACGTTGTAATGGAAAAAGATGAGAATGCATGGTATGCATATCATAGACTTCGCAGACACCATACCAAGAGTTGTCACCAATTAAAGAAGGAAATTGAGATCTTTAATTAATGAGGTCATTTATTGTCCTATGTTAAAGACGATGGAGGACAGCAAGGAAAGATAAGTCATCCTCGGGAAGATCCTAACCCATAAACTCCTACGCATAAGAAAGGAAAGAATACAAAAGAAGTTCGCAGAGCCCGAGTGACTTGTCATACGCTAAATACCATTGTAAGGGGATTCACAGGAGGAGGATAAACCAGTTCGGCTAAGAAAAGATATGCTCGATCAATAATGCACATAGAACAAAAACAATCGTCAAAGGGAAAGGAAAGCTTAAATGTGGTCAGTTTCTCTAAGAAGGACTCTGAAGGAGTATTGGCTCATGAAAATAATCCAATGGTGATCAAAGTTCAGATACGAGATTAAAACGTGAAGTAAGTCTTAATAGACCCTAGAAGTTCAACATATGTTTTATATTGGGATGCATTCAAGGGGATAAATTTTGATATCGCCGAATTGCTACCATTTAAAGGCACTTTGGTTGGATTCTCTTGAGAGCATGTACGGGTGCTTGAACATTTACCCATAATGACAACCTTTGGCAATGTAGATAATATGAAAAGTATCAAGGTAAGGTATTTAATTGTTAACGATGCATCCTTATAAAATATTATTATTGGCAGACCATCATTCAATGCTCTTGAGGCAGCGCTATCCACTTTGTACCTAACATTAAAATACCATTTATAGGACGACCGAGTAGGAATAATATAGAGCGATCAAGGAATAACAAGGAAATGTTACAGAGGTAGTATGAGACTTAAAAGGAAAGGTCCAACCGACAATCCCGTCAAAGATGTTCAACTAAAAGTGAACTTAGTAGATATCAACTCGAGAAAGGAGACACCAGAAAGTCGACCAGCAATCAAAGTAAGTACGGCTAAAATACATAATGGCATCTATTGCACCCCCAAATTTTCCATTCCTTTCTAGCTTTCGCTTCGCATTCGTATGCATCTCCCATTAGGTCATGCACTCGCACTCATTTGCATAAGATCCTGAGGTTCGGGATCAAGGCCTTCTGAAGGATCATGGTTTTCTATTGGTTTATGGTTTCTATTTCATTAAAGATTAATTCAATTACTTT